CCCCGCCCCGTCCCGATCCCTCATCTGCCAGTCCTCGCTCTCGGTATTGTGTGGATTTACCCTGCCACGGGCTTCATTACACTCGCGCTCTTCCGTCTGAACTATAAATCACAATTCCAGCTTGGGAGCAGCTGCCACTGTCCAGACATGTGGCTGGTAGGAGTCACTGCCTCTTTTATTTTCCCCTTTCACACCCTCCTTTTCCTTGTCACTAGAGCCAGCTTATCTAAAGGTCCCTTCCCTCCCCGGCTGGCTCCTATGTCGCCGCCTCCACCCCTTAACCTCTGGTCTTGTTCTTCCAGGTCAGTCCAGTCAGATACAACAGTACTCTGTTTTTTCCTGCGGCGGGGGCGGTGAGATGTCCGCACAGGCTGCCCCCGCTCTTTGCAAAACCCCTTCCCCAGACTGTCAACAGGGGGAACAACTTCGGCCTGTCTTCCCAAAGTACCACGCCGAACGACAAAGTTATTGAGATTACGAGAGGGAACCCTTCCCACGCCCAATCCTGACAAATCAGCTCCCACCTGAATTAGCTAATAAAACAGTTGATCGGCGGCTCTATCACAAAGGGCCGCACCGCACGGTCCACCCACAGAATCCTCTCCTACTCAAGTTGAGCCCAAGCCCTGCCTGGTCCACCCGCCCCCCCCCAACCCAGCGAACCACCCCGCCCGGCCCCGCACCCAGCCGAGTTGTTGTCAACTCCCGCCGGGCAGCGAAGCGCTCCGCGAGGGCTCCCCGAGGTCAGCGGCGCCCCCGTCGGGCGAGCGCCCAGGCGCCCCGCTCCCCGTCCCGGCCCGGCCAGCTCCGCGCCCCGCTCCGGGCCTCCTCCCCGCTCACCTAACGCCACCTCGCACGCTTTGCGCAGCTGGGAGTGATGCGCCTTCTTCACTTCCTTGTCGGCCAAAATCTTCTCCAGGGCCCGGGTCAGGAACATGTTCTTGGTCTTCTTCCCCTCATACATGGACGCGGAGAAGGCGGCGGCAGCGCGTCCGACCCGCGGCTCCCGGCGGCTGGACGGGGGGAGNCTGCTATGTAATTGAGTCATAGTGTGGTCCAAAGAATTCTCTTGCTTAAGAAAATAATTTAGGGCTGGCCGAGTGGCGTGTTGGTTAACAGTTGGCTTGGGACGCCAGAAGGCCCCTGTTCGGATCCCACATATGAGGGCCAGTGACACTGCCCTCTACAGCTAAGATGCTGAACAACAGCTCAACCTGGAGCTGGGCTGCCGTGAGTCCCAGCGACAGCTGGGCTGCAGCCCCTGTGACAGTGGGTTGCCATGAGCTACCGTGAGCAGTCAGCAGCCAGCGTGAGCAGCCGTCCAGAAGCCGGCGACTGATCTGCCTCGCCCAGGAAGAACACAATGATGGTGCCAACTTGGGCCAGTGAAACAACGTCCTCCACAACTAGACTGAAGAACAAAACGACAGCAACTTGTCTGTTCCCCTTCCACCAATTCCCCAGCACTGTTCCCATCCCCCCAATTCTCCAATAAAAAGAATCTTTAAAAAAAAAAAATTCTAAAATACATGTAAAGGGTTGGATGAAAATACTTCACTATAGAAACTTATTTCCCAAAGACTGCTCATTTCTCTCCTGGTGTTCCCCATCATGATGAATGCCCTCTCAAACACTCCTGTCCAGCTCTGGCTACAAGATTATTGTCACACAACCAACCCATCAGCAAACCCTGTGGACTCCTTTAAAATATACTCCACATACAACCAATTCTCACTCCCTCCACCAACAGCAGCCTAGTCTAAATCACTACCATCTTTGGCCAAAGCCAGCCTTTGAAAATGTAAACCTGCTATGTCACTCCCTTATACAAAACTCTCCAGTGGCTTCCATTACCGACACAATAAAATCCGAAGTTGCTCTGTCTCCTACCTCTCTCCTCCCTCTCCCAAGCCACACAAGCCTCCTTTCATCCTGGAATGCACCAAGCTCACACCCATCTTGCTGTTGCCTCCATTTCTGTTTCATCCAGATATCTGAAAAGCTAAATCTCTTTCCTCTGTCACTTCTCTGCTGAAATGTCACTTCACAGGCACTTTTCCTGACCTATTTATCTAACGTTGCATTTCTGGTCATTCTCCCTTTAACTTCCAGAACTATTTCTTCAGATAATAACAATCTGACAACATACAGAGGATGGCAAAAAAAATGTATACACATTTTAAGCAAAGAAAAAAACTGTACTGATATATACCGATAACAAAAGATGAATACAAGTGACATTTAACTTCTGCAATTACAAGAGGTGCTGCTCAAAGAGGTGCTGCATCAGCGTCCAGACATTTCTGATTACGGTGAACTACCGCTTGAGCAACGTTGACCAAAGTGTTAACAGCTCTTAAAACATGTATACATTTTTTTGGCACCGTGGAATATTTGTTTTTTGCTGTCAGCCTCAACCCACTAGAAAGCCAGTTTTATGAAAGCATGTCCTGTTCACTGCTTATATGCCCAACACTGGAACAGTAATCTGGCGCATACTGTTCACTTTGACAAATATCTTAATGAGGAATATACCTTATTTTGAATGGCAACAATAATTTATTCATGTATTTTCCTTTTTCAAATATCCCCTCCTCTGTTTCGTAAGGAATAGGACAAAGATTTCTCCAAATTACTTGCCATTCACAATACATTTTTATTCTGCTTTGAAAAAAAGTTACCAACAGAAGTTCCTCTACACGTTAAACGTGATCAGGAGAGACAGCAGTTGCCTGCCATAGATGGGCTGGGAAAGGAGGAGCAAGCCAGCCAACAGTGCTCTGGTCTTGATACCCCTCTTCCCAGCTGCTCCTTATTTCTGACTCTGTTCTCCTTCACACACTGTCAACAGGACGCCTGCTTTTCTAGAACACAGTAACTGTCCGGAGAATCCAATCCTCTCGTCAATAGTTAGGGCTACTATATCTCCTTTGCCTTTCTTTCCCCTGAACAGTGTTTCCTAGGGATGCTAACACTGTTAACAGGCACTGAAATGGGCCAAATAAATTCAGAAAAGACTTCTTTGAGCAAAACTGAACAGCTTTCTTTCTTAAAGGACAGTTCAGAATCCTACCTATGTTCATGTGCATTGTAAATCTCCACAGTGAAAAGAGATACACTGTAACCCAAACTTTTTTTTTCCTCAATTCAAACTTAATAGAATCTTCCTTTCAATCATTTCGTTCCTTATACTCTTTTTTCCTAGCTACCTGAAAAATTCTGGCAGCTGGCTTACTGAAAGCACCTTTTAGTTTAGATATCAAGGAAAATTTAAAAGACTTGCTAATTGATTTAAATTATAATTAAAATGTTCATTGTCTGTGAGATATTATTTGGGAGTAAGTCCTTATTCTTTCATAAATGCTGGAGAGTGACAAAGATTAAAAAAAATTACCAAAGTGGGCCGGCCGAGTGGCACAATGGTTAAGAGCTGGCTTGGGACGCCAGAGGGCCCCGGTTCGGATCCCATATATGAGGCCCAGTGACGCTGCCCTCTACAGCTAAGAAGCTGAACAACAGCTCAACGTGGAGCTGGGTTGCTGTGAGTCGCAAGGACGGTGTAGGCTGCAGCCCCTGCTGCAGTGGGTTACCATGGGCTACCGTGTGTAGCTAGCAGCCAGCGTGAGCAGCCGGCTGTCCAGAAGCCGGCGACTGATCTGCCTCGCCCGGGAAGAGCGCAATGATGGTACCAACTTGGGCCCATGAAGCAACATTCTCCACAACTAGACTGAAGAAAATGACAGCAACTTGTTTGTTCCCCTTTCCCCAATTCCTCAGCGCTGTTCCCATCCTCCAATTCCCCAATAAAAATAAAAAATAAATTAACCAAAGTAGCACAAAACTGGGGTCACAAACACTCCTATAACCTCCCCTCCACCCATATACCCCTTTTTTTGATCATCACTAACTAAAATAAAGGTGGGATTGGAGGGGCAAAAAAAGCAAGTTCTGTAAATTTTTAGCCTAAACATTATATTTACATTTCTGGGGGAGACTATAATTAGAGGTAACAGACTTCTAAGAAAACTTGATCAGTAAGATCACTTTAGAATATGATGAACACAAATTCACACCCTGTCTGATGCAAAAATTACTTCCTAACAATTCCTCTTTTTCTCATCGTTCTCCCACATCTCTGCAGGGAATCCTTCTTTGCCTCCGCATGCCTCCCTTGCCTCTCAAACCCCTTTCGCTTCTATTCTGTATCAGCACCAGCTTCCAACCTTGAACTCGTTCATCCTATCATTTGCAGGACATCTTCACAGATATTTGCTGTTAGAAGCAGAAGTTGAACTAGTCATACCCCTAACATCAAAGAAACTTCTCAAACTTAGAGGTCTGATTGGAGTATGGCCCAACTGCACCCCCTCCTTTGAGATAAACAATACTACCTTCAAGCCCAACCCAGCAACAATCCTAAATTCTCTGAAACTAAAAATAGCTCAGCTGTTGTCTCATCTGCCAGCAGATGGCCAGACTATTTTTAATTCGGGATTCTAGAGAGCAGGAATGGATCAGGCTCTAAGCTAGGGCAGCCTCGGAGCCCTCACTATGCAGAGTTCAGAGTTCACTGCAGAGAGCCCTAGTGGGGCAGGTACCAAGAGAGGGCAACCTGGAGCTCTTCCTGGGCCTGTGGGCTTCACCCTGATTCTAACAATGGAGGTGTGATGGGTTTGTCTCTTTTTTTTTTTTTTTAACCATTCATTACTTCAAAATAAAGTCTGAAATATAAAATAATTTTACAAAAAGTTTAAATAACCTGCTTACCCTTTAAAGGTTTCATTATTTCTCTCTGTGAAAAGTTCCTTTATGTAGTGTCCTTGAGAACGCATTTTCTTTTAATGAAGTAAAATCTCCCTTAATTTAGGTAAGATGTCCTAAAAGCAGTACTTTAACAAAAAAGTTTTCTTCAGAATATGTGATGAGCTGTAATTTCATGAGTATTTACAAAAAACCTTTTTATAATTGGCCTTTATATTAAAAGGTAACTGAATTAATTTTGAATGCCAGTACTCAAATCTACTCACATGCCAATGACATCATTTTAAAACACAAGAGGGTGAATCCTCTGTATCTCCTTGTTTACTGGCCATCTCCCTTCAGCTCCATGGTAGGTGCTCAATAAATATTTGGGGTGGGGGTGGGGATGAACGCAGGCAGGTGTATTTACAAGGGCTATTTAGGAAGTATATTTAGAATGGCTGTAACAACGCTCACTTCTGTACTTCCACCATCCAACTTGTACCCACTCACAGCCTACAGATCAGGGATGACCAAACCAGGCCATTCCAGTTTACTTTCTCATCCTGCTTGATGGCCACATAGATTATCAAGAGACCAAAGTGGTCATGGCCCAGGTCTCAATAGTGGAGAAAAAAGGGGGAGTCTGTAATAGTTTCCAGGTGCGATATATATTTGGGGATCCCTTCTTATTGCAGGACAGCCTATTTTCTGCAAAGATGAAATGGGTCATCCCTATCAACTTACTTTATAGGGTGATAATGTAGACGGATAAGTGGAAGGGAAGAAACAAAGTTCACCATGGATTAACTACCCTGAGATTGCTCAATGAGATTTTGTAGGAAGCTAAATGTACCTCTTATGAAATGTGAGAAAATGCCTTAGACATCTCAAGTAAAAGTACTCTGGTGCCAAGCCCCTGCCTGGGTAGTCGCATTCTTCATAATAAGCTTCTGCTAACTATATGGAAGGGGCAAAAAAAAAGTAAAACCTGTCAAAATCTGGAAGAGACAATCCTGGTCTAGCTGGCACACACACTACAAAGCAGTTCCTAAGTCTAGAAATGGCAAGGACCAAACTATAAGCCCTCTAAAGACACCAATCAAGAGTGATGGGAATACTCAATACACGAGTTAACAGCAGAACACTGTACCCGCATTCATGGCACATTAGAGGGGATGTAACCTTATAACCATTAAGTTCAACATCCTACTTTTACAGAGAAGGGAAGTAAGGCCCAGGGACTTGACTTCTGTGCAATGTAACAGAACTGGGATAAAC